GGGCCACAGCAGTGAGAACATGAGCAGGCAGACAGTAGGGCGGCCCTGTGATGGGGCTGTTGACAATTGCTCGTTCTCCATACTTACCAATTTTCATACATTTCAGAATCCAAAGAGGAGGGTACTCCCCTCAAACTCAAGTGTGAGCTCTGTGGCCGGGTGGACTTTGCCTACAAGTTCAAGCGTTCCAAGCGCTTCTGTTCCATGGCCTGTGCAAAAAGGTGAGTGGCTTGACCCCCCCACCCCCTGTGCTGTGCCCAGCTCCTGCCCTCCCCCAGGATTGCGCCTTTGATCCTGCTCCTGTGTCCCACCTCCCTTCAGTAATAGTCCATCCCAAGAGGCCGGGGGGTGGCTTACCAGCTCCCCATTTCCTGTGCCTGCCTGGAAGCAGCACCGCGTCACTAATTCCCCCAGAGAACCCCACCAGCAGATGAGAGAGAGCAGCCCAGAATGGAGGGAGGGGCACAGAAGGAAGCAGGGCTTCAGTGTGGCTGCCTCCTAGGTCCCCTTGGCCCAGCCTCTTTTCCTGCCCATCTCCTATGGCAAGCCCTCCCCTGGGAGCTTTGCCCTGAGCACTGCACTAGTGACAGTTCCTCATGAGCTTCCACCAGCTTAGGAAACTAATGATCCCAGTGAAAACCAGCAGCATTGGATGAGAGCCTGTGTGCAGGGCAGTGGGTATTCATTGTGTCCTCTAACCTTCAAGACCACTCTGAGGCCGGTGTCGCTATTGTCTTCTTTATACACAGTTGGGACCTGAGGCATGAATGATAAGTAATTGTGCCTGAAGTCACAGAGCTGGGGGGTTAGATCGTCTGACTCTACAACCCTCTGTGGTCTTTGTACCAAAGTGGACAAGGCGGCTGCCCTAGAAGCCCTGAGCCCCCCAAAGAGAAGAACTCTAGGCCCCAGGCACCCATGTTCTGCAGGCCAACTAGAGTAAGGCTTCCTCAGCCCTCATCCCCGCAGGCTGTGCTGGAGGGGATCAGGGCACTTCAGTGAAGCCTCACCAAGCTGCTCCCCAGCAGGACCATGGACAGGAGTTTCTTAGCACAGGTAGTATTTGCAGCAGAGTGTGTCTGCAATGAGTTATCACCAGGATCCAATTTATGTCAAGTGACAGATTTAGGATTAGAATGAATGAATGGACGGACACGGGTTTGCCACATAGCTTGGCTGCTCTTCTTCTGCCCGAGGCCCGTGCACCCTATGACTGCTGACTTCCTATGTTTCCCTGACTCTGGCAGGTACAATGTGGGATGCACCAAAAGAGTGGGGCTTTTCCACTCAGACCGGAGCAAGTTGCAGAAGGCAGGAGCCACGACCCACAACCGCCGTCGGGCCAGCAAAGCCAGTCTGCCAACTCTTACCAAGGATACCAAGAAGCAGGTGAGAGGGCTGGCCGAGCCTGAAGCTCCATCCTCACTGTCCCCGTGCCTTTTCTGCCCACATCAGCATGCTCTGTCAGATCAAGCCTTCCCCGTGTCCCTTCATGTAGTTCCAGCATGTCAAACTCACAGGCTAACACGGGCCAAATAAACAAGGTGTAAGTTTATGTGGCCGCAAAAAAAACAAAAGCTTCAATTTTCATAGAAACATAGATTTATTTCGATTAAAGATATGCTGAATACAAAGGGCTGAAATAAATGAGTAATCGTTAACATAAAATAATAGAACATTTTAATAAAAATTTATATTTTTTCTTGGACATTAACTTACCAGATACTGAGTAACTGCACAGATCAATAAGCATAACTCAAATAAACCTATTTTCTTGTTCTCTGAAAGCGAAATATTTCCTGTTGCGCACACCAAACAACTCAGTACAAGACTAATGACATGACAGTCAGCTGCTAAAATATTCGCTGCTAGTATTAGTGGAGAGATATGGTGCGCCTGTGCGTAAGGCGCATAAGGGAAATGAACATGATTATAAGTAATCAGTCATTGGCGAATGTAGTTTGTTATTACTAATTATGTATAACAGGATATTGTAAAAATTAAGTTACGAAATTTTTATTAAAATGTTTCTTACATACCGTTATATTGGCTGGGCTACAGAAATACTCGTTGTGGGCTGCATGCGGCCCACGGGCCGTGAGTTTGACATGCTTGACGTAGGTCCATGGGTGCCTGTGAGGTGACTGTTTTCAATAGCCTTGCCCCAGCATCACCCTCCCGGTTTGCCTTCATCCGTGGCCTCTAGTGCGGCACACACTCCAGCACTGACTCCACAGGGCCAGAGAGGGACAGCACAGAAGGTACTTTTGGGAACGCAGAGATAGGTAGTCGTAGACCAAGTAGAGGAGGGCAATGCGCCTGCCTTTGCCCATCACTGTACTAGAGATGGTTTAGTCCCCATTCTGAAGAAACTTTCTCTCTCCCAGCCAACAGGCTCTGTACCCCTTTCGGTTACTGCTGCCTTGCAGCTAACACATAGCCAGGAAGACTCCAGCCGTTGCTCAGATAACTCAAGCTACGAGGAACCCCTGTCACCCATCTCAGCCAGCTCATCCACCTCCCGCCGGCGACAAGGCCAACGCGACCTGGAGCTCCCTGACATGCACATGCGGGACCTGGTGGGCATGGGACACCACTTCCTGCCAAGTGAGCCCACCAAATGGAATGTAGAAGATGTCTACGAGTTCATCCGCTCTCTGCCAGGTGAGGCCCTTGGGGGTTCCGCACCTGCATGGAAGGCGAGAGATGAGAGGTAGTGAGAGACCTCACCTCCGCCACCAGGCAGCTCAGTTAATGACTCAGGTTCATGAACTGGGTGCAAAGATGATGGTGATGAGGTTTCATAGCTAGAGCTTCCATTCTAGCACAGAACACAAACTAACATTTTAAAGCTATAATTGGATATAGTTACTGGATATATTTACGTATGTGAATATATTTGTGTGTGTGAAACACAGAGGTGATAATGTAATGAACCCTGTGTCCTGTGCAGGTTGGGAGGAGTGACAGGTGGGAGTGTAGGAAATCTGTCGGGAACATTGGGAACAGGTATAGGATAACTGCTGTAGACATGCCGTTCAAAAAATTGAAACTGAATGACAGTGGACAGGTAGGCCCTTGCCAGGTGAAGTGATGCATGATGCAGCAGCATGAGGCATGAAGACAGGAAAGTGCAGGATGCAGCTAGGAACTCCACAGAAGCCTGTGTGGTAGAGTGCAAGTGGTTCTGAGGGCTAGCATCCAGAGATGAGCTCTGAAAGGCAAACCTCACACCAACGCTCTTCTACTGTCTTCCTGCCAGTTGCCCAGTGACCAGGTCAGGCACTGATGGCAGCCACAGGCCTGACACTCAGGGCCTGGAGTGGGTGTAGTTGCCAAGAGCACAGACTTCTGAGTCAGACAGACCCCGGCTCTGCCAGTTAACCCAGTGTGGTAGTTATCACAGTTACTGTGGGCAGTTCTGCTGCAGGGTCCCTTTTGAGATTTTGATTAAGATGTCGACAGGTCAAGGCTAAGGTCCTCCGAAGGCTTGATTGGGGCCTCACTCACATGATTCCCAACTCGGGTGTGGCTGTTGGCAAGAGGCTGTTTCTCCACAGGGGCCTCTTCAGAGCACTCACGTTTGAGTCTTCTCTTGACATGGCAGCCAGTATTTGCCACCGGCATTGTTCCAGGAGAGCAAGGTGGAAGCCACTGTGCCCTTTACGGTCTGGGCTCAGGCACCACACACAGTGCTGTCCGTCTCACAGCATCTTCCTGGTCTCCCAGGTAAACCCTATTGTTTTGTGAGGGACTCAGGAGGACATGAGAGGGAAGCAAGGATTGTTGGGAGCTCTTTGGAGGCTGCTCACATAGCTCCCCAGTGGCTCATAGCCCCTCGTGTCAAAACACTCCCAGCCCTACTGGGCTCTCCTGAGGCTCCTTCCATTGCAGCAGCAGTATGAAACCCAGGATCTCGTCGTCTAACTCAGGACCAGGCACGAGTGAACCTGCTCTTCCAATAAATAATTACTCTCAACTTTAAGACGTGAGGACTAGAGACAGGTTATCCGTTTTCCTTCACAAATTCAAATATGGTGGGTGAGATAGGGATAGGATAACTACTGTAGACATGTCGTTTAAAAGGGGGGACACTGCCGCAGCAGTTCCTAAACCTAGCAGGGCACATGGCATTTCCTTCACTAGGACTCAGCCTGGGAGTGATTCTCTGTAACTCCTGGTTCCACTCTCTGAGTCATTCTTCCTCTCCTATGAAAGCTAGCCTCAGTTTTCTCAGCCTGTTTCCAGCTGCTTTTCAGGTTGTATTACCTCTGACCCTTTCTGTTTAAGTGAGCAGCACTCTGCCAATATGATTCTCTTAAAATATTCGTTGGCCCCCCATGTATCGTGCTGGGGGCTCACTTCTTAAGACAAAAACCATACCCACGAAAGTCCTCAAGACGAACTCTCTCTACATGGGGCTTCTTCTGAAGCTGAGGGACAGTGAATGGTCATAGAAGCCCTGCTGATGGGTGGAGAGGATCTGTGAGGCACTCCAATAACATCCTTCAAGGGTTTTTTTATTGAATTGTGCTCGAGGCAGCATTTTAGATCTTTCTGGGGCCTTAAAAGATTTAAGTCACAGCCTCAGTTTCATCTGTAGACCATTTTTTCTTGCCCACCGTGCCTTGTATTTGATCTTTGCCTAGAAACCATTTCTTAATTTTAGCATCATTTACCATAGGAGAGGCTAGAGATTTCCAAAACCAGCAAATCCTGGCTCCTTTATGTTTTAACAGTTTTTCTTTACCTTATCTCTCTCCTCTCCTTTTGTTTTAAGCAGCAATAAGCCAGGCAGCCTGGCTTGTGTGGCTCAGTGGTTTAGTGCCAACCAATTGGAGTCACAATTCAATTCCTGGTCAGGGCACATGCCCAGGTTGCAGGATTGATCCCCAGTGTGGGGCATGCAGGAGGCAATTGATTGATATAAATAAAATATATATA